ATCTTAACTAATGTACCCTCTTCTTCAGGGAAGCTCAGACACTACCTGGTTCATTCCCCTCTTGGCATTTATCTCCAAAGACATACATATAAACTAAGGAGTTCTGTCTTAGAGAATTCATTATTTGTATGATATAGGAAAGAACATGTAGGACTTTATTTCAGAACTAATGAAATTAAACAAAAATCTATAAAATTTTAAAATTACCTCTATAAATCTACCTCAAAATTGAAGCTTTTTTTTTTTTTAAATAAACTTCTCAGAACAAAGTAAAAAAATGTGATAGACTTACTTGGTGCATACCACATGGGTGATAACATCTCTATGCATGTAACTGCGCTCATACATGGATGCACTGGGGAGATTATCAAGATAGACTCTTTCAAACTCTAAGACTGAAGAAAAAAAAGTAAAGTATAAAATATATTTTTAACAAATAAACCAAATACTATCTTGTATTTTATTTAAAATTGTCTACACTCTACTTAGTATTTTCTCCTAGATTTTAATTTTTCTCAAATCACAATTAAAAAATCCAGTATTTTATGTCAGTTTTAACGTCTATTATTTCAGAGCACTGAATAGCACCATGATTTAGTGAGTTACAACAGGTTCCCAGGTATTATATACATGCTAACTGTCTCCAGGACTTCAGAAATGAGTGGTTCTGGCTTAATGCGAATGTTCTATTAAAAAGAAAAGGCCGGGCGCAGTGGCTCACGCCTGTAATCCCAGCACTTTGGGAGGCCGAGACGGGCGGATCATGAGGTCAGATCGACCATCCTGGCCAACGCGGTGAAACCCTGTCGCTACTAAAAATACAAAAAAAAAAAAATTAGCCAGGCATGGTGGCGGGCGCCTATAGTCCCAGCTACATGGGAGGCTGAGGCAGGAGAATGGTGTGAACCCAGGGGGCGGAGCTTGCAGTGAGCTGAGATCCTGCCCCTGCACTCCAGCCTGGGCGACAGAGCGAGACTCCATCTCAAAAAAAAAAAAAAAAAAAAGAAAAGAGAAAAAAAACTTAAAAAGTTTCATGAAAATATCACAACCATCTTCCTGACATTGTAGATATAATTTAGTGCTCACTTAAAAGAGTCCAGTGGCCATCTGTAATTTGTCTCAGTTAATATTTAAAGCACTGATTCTCTTTGAAGTTACTGACACTGTGTTTGAAACATTTAAACATGGTACAATTCTTAGATATTTACGCCTGAGAACATCCTAGGGGGTATCCAGTTGAATGTATCTCAAATTTTTTCCAAGGGCAAAACCTGGAAAAAATCCACCTGAAAGAGTAGTAATCTGAGGAATGTCAGGAAATACTGATTTACTATATGAGGTATGAACAATTTTACTAGCAAAAAAAAAAAAAAGAAAAGAAAGGAAGGGGCGGAGGGAATGAGGGAGGGAAGGAAGGAAGGAAAGAAGAAGGGAGGGAAAGAAAGAGGAAGGGAGGGAGAGAGGGAGGAAGAAAAGGAAGGGAAGGAAGCAGAGAAGGAGGGGAGGGGAGGGGAGAATTATATGTATCCCAAATAAAATAACCCAACGATGGCCAAATGTGCCTAAAAGCTGCTAAATTAAACATGATGAGCTGTTTCAGGCTTGTGTCTGATAAACTACTTTTCCCTTCATTTTTGGGAACAGAACCCCCATTTATATATGGGCATATTGATGTCCAGCTATAACATGACCTTTCTCACTTTCCCCTGGAGTGAGGTTTAACCATATGCTAATGAGTAAAAGTGGAAATGTTTTGTCACAGGAAGTCTTGAAAAAATGTGCCCTTCTTGCTTTCCTCAATCCTATACCTTGGAACTGCGATATGACTGCTGTAATCTTAATCATTCAGAGAAATAAAGATGAGGGCTGTACCTTCGTTATGTTAGGGCAGAAAGCTGGGGAGAGCCTAGGAACTTCTGGAGCCTCCACGCCAATCCTGGACTGCCTGTCTTGGTACTTCTACACATAAAAGAAGTAAAGCACTATCTCTTCAACATCATTGTTATTTTGGGTTTTTCTGTAATATGTAGATAAAGTTAATCCTATCTGATTCAGATTCCTTTTTCTGTGTGATAGTTCATTTGTGGACAAATACTTATTAAGAACAAAATGTGTTCTAAGTCACATGGGCATAAAGAAGAGTAAAACACAGTTCCTGTCCTGAAGAGGCAGTTTAAAGTTCAGTGTCATATAATCATGTCTTTCTGAAAATATATACAACAGTCCAATGTCCAAAGAACATGTTAAAGGGGGTGACTCCATTTCTAGAAAGCTGAAATTGTTAAACACTTGTCCATTTAGACAAAATTTTAAATATTTTTGTCACATTCCATGTATGTTTTTTAGTTTCAATTTTTTTCTTCAAACTGAATACACTATTGGCAGTCTTTTTTTTTTTTTTGACACGGAGTCTTGCTCTCCTGCCCATGCTGAAGTACAGTGGAGCAATCTGGGCTCACTGCAACCTCTGCCTCCCGGGTTCAAGCGATTCTCCTGCCTCAGCCTCCTGAATAGCTGGGATTATAGGCGTGCGCCACCACGCCCAGCTAATTTTTTTGTATTTTTAGAAGAGACGGGGTTTCACCATGTTGGTCAGGCTGGTCTCGAACTCCTGACCTGATGATCTGCCCGCCTTAGCCTCCCAAAGTGCTAGGACTACAGGCGTCAGCCACCGCACCCGGCCAACTATCGGCTGTCTTAAAACAATAAGCAACTGATTAAAGATTTTCATACCTACTAATTTATATGTCTCAGTTATATTAAGTTTATAAGTCACTTGTCTGGTAACACTAATATCAGCATTTCGATATTTCTGGATTTTTACACTTCTCCTTACTCGTTTAATTAAAGGAGAACTTGCAAAAATATTCATATGCAACAAAATAGTTAAAAACCAGCATAAACGCTTTAATATTCATTCATTAAATAAATACTTAGGCAAAACACTGTACACCAAGCAATGAACAAAAAAGGCGGGATCCTGGTTACTTGCTTACAGTCCTAGCAGTGGAGAGAAACATTCATCAATCACATGAATAAATATGTAAGTAGAAAATGCGGCAAGTGCCATAAATGAAATGGTTAGCATGGAAACATTTAATAAGAGAACCAGGAAGTAAAAATGATAATGCACTGTAAGGGTGTTGATATACAAGGTTCAAAAAAACAGCTTCTTCAAAATTTGGATACATAGAATTTGAAGGCTACCTATAAATTCAGTGTTGATAGATAACTACCTCAGAATTATGATCAAAGTACTTTAGAAATCCAGTCCAGATTGGAGAAGTCACAGGCTTCCCAGAGAAGATGATAGCTAAGTGCTAAAGGTTGACCAAAAGTCAGTTCAGTGGAAGGGGTGAGGGAAATTATTCCCGGTAGAGACACCATATCTGGGTAGGAATCCAGAGGAAAAAGAGTACATGACCCATTCTCGAGTGATTTTAGAATGGCTGGAGTACAAAGTAAGGGGTTGGAAGAGGAGGATAATGGAAGATGCACTAAGAAGGTAAGGAGAGATCACATCATAAAGGGCTTTATATACCATGTGAGGGAGTTTGGGCTTTAATGAAAATAATGAGCCGGGCGCCGGTGGCCCACGCCTGTAATCCCAGCACTTCGAGAGGCCAAGGAGGGCAGATCAAGAGGTCAAGAGATCAAGACCGTCCTGGCCAGCATGGTGAAAACCCGTCTCTACTAAAAATACAAAAATTAGCTGGGGCGTAGGGGCGTGCGACTGTCGTCCCAGCTACTCGGGAGGCTGAGGCAGGAGAATCGCTTGAACCCGGGAGGCGGAGGTTGCGGTGAGCCGAGATAGCGTCACTGCACTCCAGCCTGGGCGACACAAAGACTCCATCTCAAAAAAAAAAAAAAAAAAAAAAAAAAAAAAAGAGAAAATAATGAGAAATCATTGAAGAGTTTAAAGGGAAAGTGCTAAAGTACGATTTGAGCTTAGACCACATTTAAAATGTCCTAAATACTTAAGGAAAACATTTCACAGAAAAACAAGACAAGAAAACAAAGAAAACTTTATCTACTCCTTTTCCTACCCCTTTTATTTGATAATAATTTGTGATTATTCCTCGTTAGTGACAAAATGCTTCAGCCCATCGTACCAAGAGTATGATTTCAAAACCACAGACTTCGGGTTTTGGATGAAAATAAATCTGTGATCTAGGAAGCTTACGTGACTTTCCCCAGATACGAAAATTTATTAGTGGAAGTGTCAGAGTTGAAATTATCTTTACGTACCAGGATTCGAAACAAGCACCGCCTTCCTCTCGCGCCCCAACATTAACGCATTAACACCACGCCTGAACTAAAGCCTTAAAGAGAACTAGTACCCTTTTCCATATCTAAATAAGAGTTCAAAATTCCAACTTCACGTGGCTGCTGTGGGGAGTAAATGAGAGAAGCCAAACACGTAAATATAGGAAAATGTTAGTTTTAGCATCTATCATAACAAATCAACACGTTGTACTACGCTTAAATCACTATTTCGTTAAGACATGCAAGTATGGAGTGGCTAGAAGTGAGAGGACGGCCCTCTGTTCTGAGGGCACAAAACTCCACACACCATCCCTCTTCGGATCTGGCTTGAACTCAACCCTCCCACTCGGCGAATGCAGCACTCCAATTCGTCCGGTACTATGTCTGCAGCTACCTTTCCTCTTCTTGGCCAGTGTTGCCTCCACAGGTAAAGGCCCAACCCAGCGCTCTTCGTTCTCCTCATCGTTCTCCTGGGACACCGCCACTGCTACTGCCAGCTCTCTTTCGCTGAGTTCTGTTTTTTCCGATTCCTCCGGGTCCCGACGCCTTCTCCGTCTCTGCTGAAAATCGCTACCACTTTCCGCCGCCATGTTGTTCGCGTCGCCAGAAAAAGCGCGACACACAACACGGCAACCAATCCCAAAGCAGCGGCGCAGTCTTCTGTTAGCGTCCGAGCGAGCTTCGGGATTGGCTGGGGTGGGAAAGAACAGCTCCAATGGGCATGCAGCGCGCGCAGACGTCCGGGGCTGGCAAGCGCTGCCTACGCAGCGCTGAGGCGACCTGGAGTTTGTGGCGCTGTGATGGTAAGAGCTGAGCTGGGGAGGGCGATATAACCGTTGAAGCTTGTGGAGCTCCAGTCGGAGGGTGCAACCCTTACCGCCGGCGAATTGCATACCTGACTTCCAAACCCGGCTTTGAGCCTCGTTTTTCTCGGCTTCCCGCCCGCCAGCGCCAGTTCCAGAACCTCGCCAGTATCTAGAGAAAGATGGAGGGGTGGGGACAGAAGGAAGTGGTTAACTCGCGGGTTTCCTTTCAAATGCACTAGACCTGTTTTGTCTCCTGACCTTTATTCTCTCACACATTCTCTGAAGAAGGTGGTGAGTGCTTGTTACCGTTTCTGGGGGTGGAGTGGAGAAGCAGTTACTTCAAGTAACCAAATGACCTAGGGCAGAACGGGTCACCCTTCTGTCTTCTCCCTGGTATAGGATTTCATCACCTGGCAGTCATCTGAACTCTTTCTCCTCCTTCTCATCTGTCTTCTTCATTTTTAAAAAATTAGGTAAAAAGCACATAACATAAAATTTATGATCTTAATCTCTTTTTAAAAAAATCAAATACAACTTGTCAAAAATGACCTCGGTAAAACACTTTTTTTCTCCGCAGTTACTTTTGCACCAACCCAATAAAATCCTCGTGGTAAATCTCTTCCCTACTTTTGCCTTGAGATAGGCACCACGTACAGGGAGGAACTGCCCCCCATAGTAGGCTCTTTATTTCAAAGGTTCCCATTGTTTGACCATTCTACCTAGCAAGTCTCATTTCTTCTCTGCCCTCTGCTCTCGTCAGACTACTTTCTTTTGTGTCTCACAAATTTCCCTTGTTCGTTCATGCCTCCCAGTCTTACGTGTTTATGCTTGAAAGCATCTCCACAGCAATCTAGCCTTCATGTTTACAACTCATTTTTCAGAGACCATGGCAATAATGAGGATGAAGATGATAATGATAATAATAATAATGTAGCTAGTTAACATTTATTAAGCATTATTATGGACTGATTCATTTATTCCGGGTTGGTTTCTCTAACCTTCACTATCTTGAATTCTGATAGTACTTGCAGGCAGTGGTGTATACTTTACCATTTCATAGCACTTCTGACTACCTGAAAGCATATCATGTGTTTAGTTATCCATTCATTTATATTGTCTGCATGAGAATGGAAGCTCTATGAGTACAAAGACTTTTTCACCTACACAGTTAGTGTCTTACCAATGGCATATATTAACATATTTGTTGAATAAATGAATATATTTTAGAATTATGTGGGGGTTTTTTTGCTTATTTCATGTATATTAATCTTTTCCCAATTAATAGTGCAAGTTTCTTTAAGTATAGTATTATCCCTAAATAAAGAGATACTGTTTTTCTTCAATAAATGATTAAGTATTGTAGTCTTAACTGGGGACCTCAAAAGGTTGACTTGTTCCCTTTCCAGGAAGATAGGTTTAAGGATACGAAATATGGGAAGGGGAAAAGTTAAACTCTTAAGTGTGTGTGTGTGTTTTAATTAAACAACTGAAATTTATTTCTCACAGGTCTAGAGGCTGGAGATTCAAGATCTCGGCACCATCATTTTCTGGTTCTTTTGATGATCCTCTTCAAGGTTACATACAGCTCACATCTTGCATCCTCAAGTGGTAGAGAGCAAACTATTAAATGTTTCTATATGTTTTTATTCTAATGCCACATTAAATCGCCACGCCAGATAATTTGTTGACTATCTATCCCTCACCCTCCACCCCCACCACATGTGCAGAGTTTTGCATTACTTTTGCATATTGATAATATATTTTAGTGGTCAGTAAAGAAATATTTATGTTTGACTTTTTCACTTAAAAATATTCTAAAATTGATGATGACTGATTTTGGCTTTGTAGACTTTAACTATGTCTTATGGGTATAGCAGGTGAGATATTCAGCCTTTTACTAGTTGACATTCAAATTGTTAATAGCAAACACTGATAAAGCTCTTTATATGCTAGCTACATTGCTTTTATATATATATATATATACACACACACACACACACACACTTAATTGTCATAACCCTAGGGAATATTTAATGTTATCTTCATTTTATAGGAAAGGAAACTGATGCACAGGAAGTTTAAGTGACTTGCCCAAGTCTCATAGCTTTTAAGTTATCAAAACTGGGATTTAAACCTATATAGTCTGGTTGCAAAGTTCATACCTTTAAAGTTATTTTTTTTCTTTAAGTAATGCGCCATAATTATTTAGATTTACGCAGACATATCTATCTTTAGGATTATTCCTAGGAATAGAACGTTTGGGTCAAAAGAAATGCATGTGAAATTTTGATGGATATTATCATACAAAGTGGTTGTTCCACCAACAGTGCAAGCCTCTTATTTCACATGCTTACCAGTGTTATCTCTTACCAATTTTACATTATTGCCATTCTGAATGAAAATTAATGCTTGTTTAATTTGCATTTTCATAAATTATGTATGAGCTTATGAATGTACTTTTTCTGTATTTAAAAGGTATTTGTTTTTTCTTTGAGTTCCTCATTCGTGTCCTTTGCGGGTTTCTGTTGAACTGTTTTATTGTTTACGTTTTTATTGTAAAAATGCAGACACAAACCCACACAAAATAAATGTAAAGTTTACTAATTATTATGAGGTGAACACCTTACCATCATGCTAGTCAAGAAATAAAACTTTGATCATTACCTCAGAAATCTCTCCATTTGGCCCATCCCAGCTACAACCCTTCTCTCCCTTCCACTCTTCCTCCAAAGTAATTGATATCCTGACTTTTTTGGTAATCTTTTTTTTTAAATTTTTTTTAATAGTGAGTTGTTTGGTTTCTTCTTATGAATTTGTAGGCACTTGTTATACATTCAGGAAATTAGGTCTTGGGTTGCCATATATATTACAAGTATTTCTCCTAAGTTTGGGGTTTTAAATTTTAACTTTGTTGATGAGATGTTTGTCCATGCAGAATTTAAAAAAAAAAATTTATGTAAAGATTTTAGTTTTGCTTAGAAAGGTGTTTCCTAGTCTAAGATTTAAAAAGTTTCTGTGTTTTCTTCCTATTTTTTATGATTTCTATTTTGGGTTTTTTGAGGGAGTGAGGAGTGACGTAAAGATTGAGGTATGAATTTAGACTTATTTTTTTCTCCGCAAGTACTAATCAGTTTGTTAAAAAAAAAATAAAAGGGAAAGATTTATATGGACTAAAATATACAATTAAAAAACAGTATTATATATAAAATACATATCTATTTGGATTATTTTTTTCTCCTTGATTTGCATTGTCATCTCTGTCATATGTCATGTGTCCATATGTATGTGAATCTAGAAAGTCAAGAAGGGCTTTGTATTGTGTTCGTTGCTCGATTTGCCTATTTTTGTGCCAATTCTACATTGCCATAATAGTGTAGGGTATGTCCTCCCATCTTATTTTTCATGAGGAGCTTAGGCTAGTTTTAACCCTTTGTACTTCCATGTAAGTTTTAGAATTTGCTTGTCAAGTCCCATAAAGAGAAACAAAAACTCAGGATTTTGGTTAAGATTCAGTAGCTCAACTTGGGGGAGAATTAATGTCTTTACAATGTGGATCTTTCAGTCCATGAATATGATGTATCTTTCCATTTATTTAGGTTTGCCTTAGAACTTCTTGTTAATAAGTTATTGATTAAGCAGTATAAAATGCCGAAGTTCCATATAAATAAAGATATTGAGGAGGCATATTCTGGTTTGCATTCGATGTGGGGTAGACATCCCCATTCTTTATTGCACTGTCTACCTTCTTAAAATTGCCCGGTTTTGAATCTTATGCCACCAGATTTGGTAACCCCCTTCTATTCTTTGCAGGAATCATCTAGCAAGATTGTTTTACTTGCCCTCATTCTTTGAAGATTTTTAGCTCCTGGCTCACTGTTGCCCTTTGCAGTACTACTATCATCATTCTTAGTGATTTTAATATCCTTATAGATGATCCAATAATTTGGCCTCTCTTTTTCTTGACCTTCTCTTCCCTAGTGATTATGTTCTCTCTCTTGTATTAGCTGCTTATTCCTATGACCATTCTTTCACTTTGTCCCTGTCTGTGCCTGTGGTGCTACACCATAGAAGAAAACATAACAACCATGCTCTGGTTTTACTTTAAACTCATGATACTAATCTCAGGTGAGCCTGTAATGCTACTGCTGAATAATCCTGTAACTTTATCCTCTCCCATCTTTTTATATATCTGTTTTATACATCTCTTTTTCCTGTGCCCTTAAACTTGCAATACTTTCTTCCCATCCTTACATAGCTGATGACTGTAGTTACCATTTACTGAGAAAAGAGAAACAATCCACATGGAATTTCTACAAGTTCCTAGCAGCACATCTACTTACCTACCTACATCTACACTCTTGATATTCTGATGACCCTCCCATTAAAATGCATGAACTGCATGTCCATTTATCTTAAGCCAACCCCTCTACTTATGTACTAGATCCCATTCTTTCTTTTCCCCTTTCTCTCTTGTATTAGCAATATTTCTTTCTTGTATTGTACCATATAAAGATACTATATTTTCTCCCATCTTTAAAAAAGAAAAAGTCTGTTTTAACCCTATATCTCCCTCCAGTTAGTAACCGTATTTCTCTCTTTTGCTTTAAAGAAAAAAAATTTGTGTGTGTGGTTTTTTTGTTTTGTTTTTGTTTTTGGTATGGTCTTACGGTCTTGCTTTGTCACCCAGGGTGGAGTGCAGTGGTGTGATCATGGCTCACTGCAGCCTCAGTCTCCTGGGTTCACTGGGCTCAAGGGATCTTCCCACTTCACCTCCTGAGTAGCTGGGATTACAGGCATGTGCTGCCATGCCTGGCTAGAGAAAAAACTCTTGAAAACATTTCATATACTTAATATTTTTAATTCCTTGCCTTCTATTCTTTCTTGAATCCACTCCAATCAGACTTTTATTCTTGCCATTTTTCTAAAACTACTCCTATAAAGGTTATCTGTGGCCTTCATTTTTGTATGTTTACTCCAATAAAATTGTTGTAATAAATTACCCCAGAATGTAGAGGTATAAAACAACTATTTATTATGCTCATGAGTTTTGTGCATTAGAAATGCAGACAGGACACAGCAGGGGCAGCTTCTCTGCTCTACAGTATCTGGAGCCTTGGCTAGAAGATCAAAGCCTAGGGGCTTAATTGTCAGAAATGATCATGTGTATGTCTGGCAGTTGATACTAGCTTTTGTCTGGGAACCTCAGTTCCTTTCTACATGGACTTCATGTGATCTCTTCCTTTTGTGCTACTTTGGGCTTTCTCATAACGTGGTGCCTGGGTTGCAAGGGTGAATGTTCCAAGAAAGAGAAAGCGAGAAGTTAGCTATATTGCCTTTTGTGACTTAGTCTTGAAAGTCATGTGGTGTCATTTTCATTGTATTCTGTTTATAAAGACAGCCACAAAGTCACACTCAGTTTCAAGGGGAGGGGAAAAAGACTCTGCCTCTTGATGGGGGAATACAACCTGAAATATTGCTGTGACTATTTTTAGAAAAAACATTTTGTTCCTCTTTATTACTAAATACATTGTCAGTTCTCTGTAACTTGACCCGTCTCCAGTGTTTGACAGTTATCATTCCTTCCTTGAATACATTCTTGGATTTCAGGGCATCATGTTCTTGATTTTCCTCTTAACTTACTGAGTGCTGCTTCTCAGACTATTCAGTTGGTTCTTACCTCAATAACTCCTGGCCTGAAGATCTCATTTCTAGCTGCACGCTCTTCCTTTTCTTATTTCACCCAACCTCACAACTGTAAGTACAGTCATGTATCACTTAACGGGGATATGTGCTGAGAAATGCATTGTTAGATGATTTCATTATGTGAGCACAAACCTAGATGGTATAACCTAACCCACACCTAGGATGAATACTGTAGGTAATTGTAACAGAATGGTATTTTTGTATTTAAACCTTTCTAAACATATAAAAGGTACAGTAAAAAATATGGTATGAAAGATAAAAAGTGGAACACCTGTCTAGGGCTTTTACCATGAGTGTAGCTTATAGGATTAGAAGTTGCTCTAGATGAGTCAGTGAGTAGTGAGAAGATGTGAAAGCCTAGGACATTACTGTACCTTACTGTAGACTGTAAATACTGTACACTTAGGCTATACTAAATTTATTTTTTAATTATTCAATAATAAATTAACCTTAGTTTGCTGTAAGTTTTTTGCTTTATCTTTTTAATTTTTTAACATTTCAACTCTTTGGTAATAACAGCTTAAAACATAAACATGTTGCATAACTGTGCAACAATATTTCCTTTCTTTTTTTATTTTCTAATTTAGAGACAGAGTTTGTCTCTGTCACCCAGGCTGAAATGCAGAGGTGTGATCATAGCTTACTATAACCTTGAACTCCTTGGCTCAAGTGATCTTCCTGCCCCTGTCTCCTGAGCAGCTAGGACTACAGGACTGTGCCACCTCACCCAGCTAATTTTTAAATTTTCTTTTAGAGAAGGGGGTCTCACTTTGTTGCCAGGCTGTTCTGTAACTCCTGGACTCAAGTGATCCTACCATCTCCTACCACCTTGGCCTCCCAAAGTGGTGTGATTACAGGTGTAAGTCACTGCACCTGGCATATTTTCTTTATGTCTTTTTTTTCTAGCCAATTTATATATTTTTATTTTTTACTTTTTAAGTTTCTTTGCCTAGGCCTAAGGCAGGGTGAGGATCGTCAAGACCTCAGTAGGCAATAGGAATTTTTCAGCTTCGTTGGAACCACTGCTGTATGTGCGGTCTGTGATTGACCAAAATGTCATTATGTAGTGTGTAACTCTTATCTGTGTTATGATGGCTGTCAAATTCATATTTATAGCTCAAAACTTTCCTTTCAACTGCAGACATGTATCTCTAATTGCTTAATCAGCAGCTCCAATAATTGACACCTCAAATGTAGCATATCCTAAACTGAGTTTTTAATCAGCACTCCTCCCATGTTTGCCGAATCTGTCTTTTACCATCTTTCTCACCTCAGTAACTGGCAACGTAATAATTTACTTTTCTCTTTGACAGTCCATATACGTGCTGTTAAGATATTCTGTTGGCTCCGTCTTGAAAATATATCCAGAATTGGACATTCAGTGCTGCTTCTATCAGTATTATCCTGGCCTACATCTTGCTTGGGTCATTGCAGTAACTTTCTAATTGGTTTTCTTGTTTCTGTCCTTACTGCCTATAGTTAACCAGAGTTGTACTGTTAAAATGTAATTCAAATGATTAATTCCTCTATTTGAAACTAATTGCTTATCATCTCAAAGTCCTTAAAATAGCCTACCAAGCCCACATGATCTCATCCCTATTGTCTCTCTGACCTCATATTCAACTCTGTCTTACTTAATCTGCTGTAATCACACCAGCTTCTTCATTACTGTGGAAACATGACAGTCATATTCCTGCCTCAAGGCCTTTGCACTTGCAGTTCCCTCTGCCTGGACCCTCTGCCCCTGTTCATCCCTGTACTTCGTTTCTTTATCTTCTTCATGTCTTCTTACTCAGTTGTCGATTTCTCAGTAACCTTATATCACCACCTTATTTAAAATTATATTGTCCTTGCCCTAGCATTCCCTGTGTTTCTTCCCTGTCTTTTCTCCATGGCACTTATAAATCATTTTATATACTACAGTATATATATGTTCTATTTTTTATTTTGTTGTCTGTTTTCCTTATTTAGAATAAGGTTCACGGTAGGAGGAATTTTTGTCTATTTTGTTCGTTGCTGTATTCTTATCCCCTAGATGAGTGTCTGGCAGGTAATAAGTGTTCAACCAATACTGCTGAATGAATAAATATTTTTTGCTTTAGTTTTTCTTCTACAGCTAAAAAATCGCAAAGCACATATCAATGAATCAGCAAGATCTAGATCCAGATAGTACTACAGATGTGGGAGATGTTACAAATACTGAAGAAGAACTTATTAGAGAATGTGAAGAAATGTGGAAAGATATGGAAGAAGTAAGTATTAAAAAATAGAAGTGATAATTAATATAAGATGTAAATCAACTTCAATACTAGACTCAGGAAAGAAATGATTGTTGTGCTAGTTTCCAAAAGCCATTATGTATGATAAATATTTATATAGCTCTTAGACCTATAAGCATTCATTCAAGAAACTTTACACTAGATGAGCTATAGAAAGAAAAATTTTGGCAATCCATGCTCCCAAGGAGATTACCATCTTATGGAAACAACAGCCATTATATTATGTTGTAGTACAATATTAGATGTATTATAGAAGTACAAAGACTATGCTTAGGAGAAGTCCTAAACCCAGATGAAGGGGTCAAGGATAGCTTTTTAAAAGAGGTAATTACTGGGATAGGTGCGGTGGCTCACACCCGTAATCCCAGCACTTTGGGAGGCCAAGGCTGGGGGATCATGCGGTAAAGAGATCGAGACCATCCTGGCCAACATGGTGAAACCCTGTCTCTGCTAAAAATACACAAATTAGCTGGGCGTGGTGGTGCATGCCTGTAGTCTCAGCTACTCGGGTGGCTGAGATAGGAGAATCGCTTGAACCCGGGAGGCGGATGTTACAGTGAGCCAAGGTAATGCCACTGCACTCTAGCCTGGTGACAGTGGAGTGAGACTCTGTCCCCCCAAAAAAAAAGAAAAAGTAATTACTGATTTCATTTCTAAAGAATAATTAGTAGTTAGCCTGTAAAAGTAGAAGTAGTATACAAAGCATGAAGAAGAAAATGTGTAAAAGCTGAGAGAGTTGACAGAACACTAAATAGAATATTATGTATAATGTACATTAGGAGAAGGACTTCTAGGGTAGGAATGGAGAAGTAATCAGGGGCAAGAACATAAAGGATTTTGTTGAGTGTGTACTAATGGGGAGCTACTAAAGGATTTTAAGTATGGAAGTGACATGATCAGATATGCAGTTTGGGAAAATTACTCTGGTGTTTTTGAAGAAAATCGAATGCAGAAGAGTAAGACTACAGATAGAAAGCATTTAGGAAGCTCAAGTAATAGTCCTGGTAAAAAGTAAGGAAGCCCTAAGTATTGTCATTGCAAATAGAAGAGTGGATTCAAGAGATAAGTAGGTAGGATTAGAAGTTAATTGATGTGCAATGGAAGGGATATATGGTTAGTTTTAGGTTCCTGGTTTGGGTCATTGGGTGGTTGATGGGATTATTTCCCCAAATAGAGAATATAGAAGTGGGAAGAACACATAATTATGAGTGAAAACATAAATTAATTTAGAAAATGTTGTTTGAAATGTATGTACCTTTTCGAAGTTGGTGAGATAGAACTGCCTTTGGTACACTAGAATATGTTGGTGAAAATTTGTTCTACTTAAAGCAAGCTTGTCCAACGCGCGGCCCAGGATGGCTGCGAATGCAGCCCGACACAAACTTTCTGAAAGCATTATGGATTCCTTTTTTTTTTTTTTTTTTGCTCATCAGCTATTGTAATGTATTTTGTGTGTGGCCCAAGACAATTCTTTTTCCAGTGTAGCCCAGGGAAGCCAAAAGATAGGGCACAGATATTTTCAGCATCTTATTCTTCCCAGTAAAGTTTCAGAATTGGGCAAATTAGTGAGGTTTTTCTCTTTTCTTACAATTATTTTTAATATAAATACTTGGTATTTTGTATTATTAATATATTTTCAGGATAATTTTTATAATCCTCCCACCTTTTATGTTTTGCTTCAGGTATTTTTTCAGTATAAAAATTTGGATTTTAAAATTACTTAAAATTTGTATAGAGAAACGCTGCACTACAAATGAGCAGAAATAGAATTTACTCATATTTTTATCTCATATAATTATCATGAACAGTTTTGTACTTTTTTAACGGCACAGAAACAATGTCTCCTGAAGGCTTTATTTTCTTAGGATTTCTTAGGATCTTTACTATTTTCTTACTTGTTATTTTTCTATAGTGCTATCCCTCATATTTTTTAATCTCCCACTTCCAGTTATCTGACTTATAATTCATTCTAGCTATTAGTTTTTGTTTGTGTTTTTGTTTTTGTTTTTCTCTTCATTCTAGTGTCTCTTTTTACTTGTGATGTATTCACCTTGGGACTTGTTTGGCTGCCTTAATCGTCCTACTTACAAAGTGAAGAATTTCAACAAACTCTTCTCCATCAGATGTTTGTGGTTTAGAAGAGTGTTATATTGGCCTGGTACAAAAGAGGAGGGGAAGGGAATTTTCTGTGAGTTATCGTGTGTGACTTGCTTTTTTTTACTTTTTAAATCAAGTGTCAGAATAAATTATCACTTACTGGAACTGAAACACTCACTGATTCAAATGCTCAGGTATGAATCTTCTATTTCTTCCTAAAAAATACAAGGTAAGTGGAATTCATTGTATTTTGGAAAAGAAATATATCTGTCTATATTTTTCTCAAGTTTAATAGCTTTGTTAATACCTGTATGCTTAATCATTTGGAAAACTTCTCACTCTTCTTGCTTTAAGAGTTGGGAGAATATTCTAAAAACTTACTAGAACAAGCTATTATAAATAAGAGGTTTTTTTTTTATTATTTGTCTTTTAGCAGCTATACATATATTTAACAACTGAGTAAATTGCTTGTTGGTTGCTATTTTGCTACCTTATTAAAATTAGAAGAAAGACCAGTCTGGCCTACATGGCAAAACCCCGTCATTACCAAAATGCAAAAAAATTAGCTGGTCTTGGTGGTGTGGTCATATGATCCCAGCTACTCAGGAGGCTGAGGCACGAGAATCAGTTGAACCCAGGAGACTGAGGTTGCAGTGAGTTGAGATTGCGCCATTACACTCCAGCCTGGGTGAAAGAGCAAGACTGTCTCAAAAAACAAACAAAAAAATTAGAACAAAGACTGCTAACTTTGTGTTAGGTATAATAGTCACAGATATATTACTATATGTGTCGAATCTGAATTGATTTTACTCTTGGCCTACAAAAAGGACTAAGATATTCATTATAATAATCAGAATTATGGAATTGCTTTAGGAATAGATCAGTGGATCAGTGAAACAGATTAAAAATTAAAATTGCCTCGAGCAGCATGAGAGTTGGGAATGCCAACCCCTTGCAGAGTATTAAAGTATTAAGAATGTTTATATTTTCATCTATGTATAGCTATGAATAGTCCACAGAATATGACTTTGTTTTCTTCTTTTGTAGCTATCATTATTAATTATGCAGGTAAAATGTTTAACCGCTGAACTCAGTCAATGGCAGAAAAAAACACCTGAAAGTAAGATTCTTATTTTAAATTTGAATTTTTTGTAAGCCTATTAATGACAAATTAATTTAATAATTGTAAGAAAAATTACAAGATCCATTTGGCCTTTCCGACATCGCCCAAATTTCAGTGATACTGAGAAGCCACTTATTTTTTTTCTTTCTATAAATTATTTTGTGCTGCTTTTGTTGTTATTGATAAACATATCTTACATTAGATTATAATAAGCTTGATTATGGAGACGTTATTATATCCATTATGTTATCCTCATACACACTTAGACTGCCTTATGCTCACTAGAAATGGTAATTTTTTTTTTCCCAGTAATCTGAGAGTATTGTTCTTTTTTTTTTTTTTTTTTATTATACTTTAAGTTCTAGAGTACATGTGCACAACGTGCAGGTTTGTAACATATGTATACATGTGCCATGTTGGTGTGCTGCACCCGTTAACTCATCATTTACATTAGGTATATCTCCTAATACTATCCCTCCCTCCTCCCCCATCCCCACAATAGGTCCTGGTGTGTGATGTTCCCCTTCCTGTGTCCAAGTGATCTCACTGTTCAATTCTCACCTATGAGAGAGAACATGCGATGTTTGGTTTTCTGTTCTTGCGATAGTTTGCTGAGAATGATGGTTTCCAGCTGCATCCATGTACTTACAAAGGACTCGAGCTCATCCTTTTTTATGGCTGCATAATATTCCATGATATATGTGTGCCACATTTTCTTAATCCAGTCTGTCACTGATAGACATTTGGGCTGATTCCAAGTCTTTGCTATTGTGAATAGTGCTGCAATAAACATACGTGTGCATGTGTCTTTATAGCAGCATGATTTATAATCCTTTGGGTATATCCCCAGTAATGGGATAACTGGGTCAAATGGTATTTCTAGTTCTAAATCCTTGAGGAATCGCCACACTGTTTTCCACTGTGGTTGAACTAGTTTACAGTCCCACCAACAGTGTAAAAGTGTTCCTGTTTCTCCACATCCTTTCCAGCACCTGTTGGTTCCTGATTTTTTAAATGATTACCATTCTAACTGCTGTGAGATGTTATCTCATTGTGATTTCGACTTGCATTTCTCTGAGAGCGAGTGATAATGAGCATTCTTTCATGTGTCTGTTGGCTGTATGAATGTCTTCTTTTGAGAAGTGTCTGTTCATATCCTTTGCCCACTGTTTGATGGGGTTGTTTTTTTCTTGTAAATTTGTTTGAGTTCATTGTAGGTTCTGTCTATTAGCCCTTTGTCAGATGAGTAGATTGCAAAAATTTTCTCCCATTCTGTAGGTTGCCTGTTCACTCTGATGGTAGTTTCTTTTGCTGTGCAGAGGCTCTTTAGTTTAATTAGATCCCATTTGTCAATTTTGGCTTTTGTTGCCGTTGCTTTTGGTGTTTTAGACATGAAGCCCTTGCCCATGCCTATGTCCTGAATGGTATTACCTAGGTTTTCTTGGATTTTTATGGTTTTAGGTCTAACATTTAAGTCTGTAATTCATCTTGAATGAAATTTTGTATAAGGAGTAAGGAAAGGATCCAGTTTCAGCTTTCTACTTATGGCTAGCCAATTTTCCCAGCACCGTTTATTAAATAGGGAATCCTTTCCCCTGTTTCTTGTTTTTGTCAGGTTTGTCAAAGATCAGATGGCTGTAGATGTGTGGTATTATTTCTGAGGGCTCTGTTCTGTTCCATTGGTCTATATCTCTGTTTTGGTACCAGTACCATGCTGTTTTGGTTACTGTAGCTTTGTGGTATAGTTTGAAGTCAGGTAGTGTGATGCCTCCAGCTTTGTTCTTTTGGCTTAGGATTGTCCTGTCCATGTGGGGTCTTTTTTGGTTCCATATGAACTTTAAAGCAGTTTTTTCCAATTCTGTGAAGAAAGTCATTGGTAGCTTAATGGGGATGGCATTGAATCTATAAATTACCTTGGGCAATATGGCCATTTTCACAATATTGATTCTTCCTATCCATGAGCATGGTATATTCTTCTATTTGTTTGTGTCCTCTTTTATTTCACTGAGCAGTGGTTTGTAGTTCTTGAAGAGGTCCTTTACATCTCTTGTAAGTTGGATTCCTAGGTATTTTATTCTCTTTGAAGCTATTGTGAATGGGAGTTCATTCATGATTTGGCTCTCTGTTTGTCTGTTACTGGTGTTTAAGAATGCTTGTGATTTTTGCACATTGATTTTGTATCCTGAGACTGCTGAAGTTGCTTAGCAGTTTAAGGAGATTTTGGGCTGAGACGATGGGGTTTTCTAAATCTACAATCATGTCGTCTGCAAACAGGGACAATTTGACGACTTCTTTCCCTAACTGAATACCCTTGATTTCTTTCTCTTGCCTGATTGCCCTAGCCAGAACGTCCAACACTATGTTGAATAGGAGTGGTGAGAGAGGGCATCCCTGTCTTGTGCCAGTTTTCAAGGGGAATGCTTCCAGTTTTTCTCCATTCAGTATGATATTGGCTGTGGGTTTTCATAAATAGCTCTTATTATTTTGAGATACGTTCCATCAATACCGAATTTATTGAGAGTTTTTAGCATGAAGAGCTGTTGAATTTTGTCAAAGGCCTTTTCTGCATTTGTTGAGATAATCATGTGGTTTTTGTCTTTGGTTCTGTTTCTGTGCTGGATTATGTTTATTGATTTGCGTATGTTGAACCAGCCTTGCATCCCAGGGATGAAGCCCACTTGATCATAGTGGATAAGCTTTTTGATGTGCTGCTGGATGCGGTTTGCCAGTATTTTATTGAGGATTTTTGCATCGATGTTCATCAGGGATATTGGTCTAAAATTCTCTTTGTTGTGTCTCTGCCAGGCTTTGGTATCAGGATGATGTTGGCCTCATAAAATGAGTTAGGGAGGATTCCCTCTTTTTCTATTGATTGGAATAGTTTCAGAAGGAATGGTACCAGCTCCTCCTTGTACCTCTGGTAGAATTCGGCTGTGAATCGGTGTGGTCCTGGACTTTTTTTGGTTGGTAGACTATTAATTATTGCCTCAATTTCAGAGCCTGCTATTGGTCTATTCAGGGATTCAACTTCTTCCTGGTTTAGTCTTGGGAGAATGTGAGTGTCCAGGAAATTATCCATTTCTTCTAGATTTTCTAGTTTATTTGCGTAGAGGTGTTTATAGTATTCTCTGATGGTAGTTTGTATTTCTGTGGGGTCGGTGGTGATATCCCCTTTATCATTTTTTATTGCATCTATTTGATTCTTCTCTCTTTTCTTCTTTATTAGTCTTGCTAGCGGTCTATCAATTTATTGATCTTTTCCAAAAACCAGCTCCTGGATTCATTGCTTTTTTTGGAGGGTTTTTTATGTCTCTATCTCCTTCAGTTCTGCTCTGATCTTAGTTATTTCTTGTCTTCTGCTAGCTTTCGAATGTGTTTGCTCTTGCTTCTCTAGTTCTTTTAATTGTGATGTTAGGGTGTCAATTTTAGATCTTTCCTGCTTTCTCTTGTGGGCATTTAGTGCTATAAATTTCCCTCTACACACTGCTTTAAATGTGTCCCAGAGATTCTGCTATGTTGTGTCTTTGTTCTCATTGGTTTCAAAGAACATCTTTATTTCTGCCTTCATTTCGTTATGTACCCAGTAGTCATTCAGGAGCAGGTTGTTCAGTTTCCATGTAGTTGAGTGGTTTTGATTGAGTTTCTTAGTCCTGAGTTCTAGTTTGATTGCACTGTGGTCTGAGAGACAGTTTGTTTTAATTTCTTTTCTTTCACATTTGCTAAGGAGTGCTTTACTTCCAACTATGTGGTCAATTTTAGAATAAGTGCGACGTGGTGCTGAGAAGAATGTATATTCTGTTGATTTGGGGTGGAGAGTTCTGTAGATGTCTATTAGGTCCTCTTGGTGCAGAGTTGAGTTCAATTCCTGGATATCCTTGTTAACTTTCTGTCTCGTTGATCTATCTAATGTTGACAGTGGGATGTTAAAGTCTCCCATTATTATTGTATGGGAGTCTAAGTCTCTTTGTAAGTCTCTAAGGACTTGCTTTATGAATCTGGGTGCTCCTGTATTGGGTGCATATATATTTAGGATAGTTAGCTCTTCCCGATGAATTGATCCCTTTACCATTATGTAATGGCCTTCTTTGTCTCTTTTGATCTTTGCTGGTTTAAAGTCTGTTTTATCAGAGACTAGGATTGCAACCCCTACTTTTGTTTGTTTTCCATTTGCTTGGTAGATCTTCCTCCATCCCTTTATTTTGAGTCTACGTGTGTCTCTGCATGTAAGATGGGTCTCCTGAATACAGGAAACTGATGGGTCTTGACTCTTTATCCAATTTGCCATTCTGTATCTTTTAATTGGATCATTTAGTCCCTTTATATTTAAGGTTATTATTGTTATGTGTGAACTTGATCCTGTCATTATGATTTAGCTGGTTATTTTGCTCATTAGTTGATGCAGTTTCTTCCTAGCATTGATGGTCTTTACATTTTGGCATGTTTTTGCAATGACTGGTACCTGTTGTTCCTTTCCATGTTTAGTGCTTCTTTCAGAGTCTCTTGTAGGGCAGGCCTGGTGGAGACAAAATCTCTAAGCATTTGCTTGTCTGTAAAGGATTTTTTTTCTCCTTCACTTATGAAGCTTAGTTTGGCTGGATATGAAATTCTGGGTTTAAAATTCTTTTCTTTAAGAATGTTGAATATTTGCCCCCACTCTCTTCTGGCTTGGAGAGTTTCTGCTGAGAGATCTGCTGTTAGTCTGATGGGCTTCCCTTTGTGTGTAACCCAACCTTTCTCTCTGGCTGCCCTTAACATTTTTTCCCTCATTTCAACTTTGGTGAATCTGACAATTATGTGTCTTGGAGTTGCTCTTCTCCAGGAGTATTTTTGTGGCATTCTCTGTATTTCCTGAATTTGAATGTTGGCCTGCCTTACTAGGTTGGGGAAGTTCTCCTGGATGATATCCTACAGAGTGTTTTCCAACTTGGTTCCGTTTTCCCCGTCACTTTCACACACACCAATCAGATGTAGATTCGGTCTTTTCACATTATCCCCTG